TCATAGATTCATAGATTAAGGGTCGGAAGGGACCTAGTAGATCTTCTAGCCCGACCCCCCGCCAGGGCGGGAGAACAACAAAAACCCCAAAAAGAGAAATGGGACTCAAACGAGTCCAGCTAGGTGGGCATCCAGCCTCTTCTTAAAGACCCCCAGGGTAGGGGCCAGCACCACTTCCCTTGGAAGTTCCCTGATGTTCCCTGGCTGCACCTTGCACCATGCTTCCTCTCCCCCCCCCCTCAGCATTATTCCCATCAGCTCTGCTCCCCCCTCACCCCAGCACAGACCTTCCAAAGAAGCCTTCTTGCCAGTAATATTACAGGCAACCTGGGATGCAGCAGCCCATGGCTGAGAGACTGTTCCTTGAAGGTTGCTGTGCTCCCACTCAAAAACTAGGTGGTATACTGTGCTCTAACTATTAGAGCTTCAGTCAAGTTATGGCTGCTTAGTGTTTTTACTGACAGCTAAAATTTTACAGATTTTACTGATAGGCATTTTTAGGCTATTTTTTTCTTAGAGTAAATTTACTGACAATTAGCGACCTTGACATCTATGCCAGAAAAAAGCTCAGTGGGGAATGTCATTTGCAGTATAATAATGTACATAACACACTTTGGCAGGAAATAAATAGAAAATTTGTCAAGCAGAGCCTTCGCAATATGTTTTTGAAGTATGGTTAAAGATGCCCTTTAATTCTCTTTAGCCCTGGGGCAGTAGTTGTGCAGTGTTTTTAATGACTATGATACTAATTTATACAGCCCCAAAATATGTGCAGTGCACTTAATTAAGAAAAGACAAAGACATGGTTCTTAGCCTGAGGAGTTTCCAGACTAATTTCAGATATGCCTCAACAAGGCAGAGTCACTATAATTGGAGGGGAAGGGCAGAGAAAATGTTTGGGTTACAGTAATAAAATCTCTCTGTTACTCAATATTAGCAGTACCATTAAAGTAAATTCTTTTCACGAACTCCTTTTTTGTTAGGAAGAAGTGTTTGTTTTTTTCCACATGAGATTTTATATAAGAGCTGGTGTTCTTGCTTCCCCCCACACATTGTGCGCCTGCCCAAAATTTTTGTTTACAAATAGTTTAAGTGATAAAATGGTAGGATAACATCACAGCAAAATATAAATGTGATGCCTGTGAGCAAGGATTTTTAAAAAGATCCTCAATGTTTGTCATTGGCAACATACAGCTTAATGCATTTTAATTCCAGACATTGACATCCCTCAACATGCATATTTATAAAACAACTGACATGCTCCTTCATGTCCCCCACAGTCTCTAGTTAGATCAGTGAGGAAGTGCCAGCTGTGACCAAGCCATAGAAGTGTGCATCAGCATTCATAATCATTAGCAGCATTTTTCCTTTTAATTATCTTTCTAGATGTACTTGAACATGCATGGAGCGCAGCTAAGAATACTGATCATTAAATCAACTGTATCTTTTTGAAAGTAAATGAAGGGAGAATGAAGGCTGTTTTATATAACAAGTTTTATGGAAGACTTCTCAGTCCCAGTTGCATAAATAAGTACGAGTTCTTGTTTCGCAGGAAGATGGCATGTTCCGTTATCTTCAAAATGAAGCTGTGTAAAGGGTTCATGTAGTTCCTAGAACCTAGAAACTGAACCAGCTGAGGTCCATTTTTATTTATATTTAATTTGTCCTCTGGTTGCTAGGAGAATCCAGTGACCAGCAGGATGGCCTCAGTTCAGTTGCAGTCCTGGTATGGGGTAAGAAAAATTGGCAAGACTCCCTCAACATCTCCCCTACCTCCACCCCTGCTCCACTCCCCACCCCTACTCTTTTTGATGTATTTGGAATACTTCCTACTTTTTGATAGACTGGGAAGAGCATGAAAATGGCTTTTTTTCATCATATCCAAGCACTTTTGGTCTTGGCAGCCATTTTATTGTTGTACTGTGGTCTTCATGATCATCAGACACCTGCTCCAGTACAGGGCAGTGAACTGGGTAGGCAGGGAGTGTAGAGCAAGGCTGGCTTGGAGAATGTCTCCAGCCATGTGTGAATGGCTCTAGAATGCCCAGGCTGGCTGGTTCCAGATCTCAGGATTGATGGGCCTCTTATTGCATGTATATTTGTGCCATTGGTTGGTATGGGTAAAATTAGATTATAGTACCTTTGTATGCAGACTGGTAAAACTAAGCATTATACTACTGTACTGGGGCTTAAAAGATGATTCCTCCTTTTGTGTTTTCTTCCAGGCTGCATAAAAACTGAAGGCACTGTTTTTGAACAGTTCTCAAATGAAACTGTATTATCATAGTGGCAGTGGATCTTTTAGATTCACTTTTTGCCAAAATGTAATGCCAGGTTGGGGATCAGCATGTCAACTACAGATTATACTCATCATGTATAATTTATTACATTTCATTTGGATTTGTGAGAAAACCACAGCCCCCTGGTAAATTTTCCCCTGCCAAGCAGGAAGTTCAGTGCTTTTTATTGTTCTTCAGTAAACCATGCTGCACTTACTGTAACAGGAGAAACATTCTGTTCAACGGTGTGGGTTCTGTATCAGGGAAGTCAGAGAATCCAGATATGTGTTCTTCATTTCTCTTCCATGCCCTTTGACTTGGTTTTCCTATTGTATTACTATTGTAGTATATTTTTATAATCCAGTAGGAATTGCAGATATAAGGGAGGTACACCTTTACTTTCTTGTCAACTAGTGAGATGGCAGGCCAGTTGGATGCACATCTGAGAAGGATAGTTTTGTGGTTCAGAGTGGACTGGATTCAGGACCCTTGCATTCACATTCTGGCTGTGCCACACAACTTCTGCCTGACCTTGGACATGTCCCTTCCTCTTCATCTCTGCTGTACTTCCCTATCAGTAAAATGGAGTAGTTTTAATGGTGGTAATACTACCTTGAAACTTTGTTCTGAAGTATGTGGGAAGTTCATAAAGTGGACAGGATTTCCAAATTGCTTTTTAAAAAATTTCTGATGTACACAGCACTGGGCTTTGGAATACTTTGCTTTTTGGTAGTAGTTGCCTTGTCGAATCAGTTGCAACGTTGTCTAACTTGAAAGTCCTTGTAGCTCGAAGCCACATTGTAGAGTCTTTTTCTTGGTATATGCTGATAATGGTTTTACTTTATCATATTATATAGTCCCAGTTAAATGTAATTTGCTTGTATGTTCACATTTATGAGGTCAGTGTCACAGGCCAGCTGGGCACTGTGAATTTATCAATTTAGTTGCAGGCTGACTGGGTACTGCAACTGGATCAGCCACTGGGCTATTTGGTCGGGATCGAGGAGGTGATGTTGGGAAGGAAGCAATAACAAGTTTTACTTATGACAGTAAAAATGAATTTTACTTATAACAGCAAAAGATATAGTTTGCACATATAGCAGTTAATAAAAAGGTTAAGCTAATAAACAGACAACATAACAATACAAGTTAAAAATTGGCAGAGATAATAAAAACAGACAAATTAACAAAGAGTTCCCACTTGGTTAGCAACTTATCGTTAGTCCCTCAGCGTCAGGTACATGTCAAATTGATTCAGCGAAGTCAGGCCTTCCCGATCCATGCTGTCAGAGAATACTGGGGAAGGTCCCTCAGTCAGGATTTGGCTCTTACTCATGTTGAGAGTAAGGGTTCTGGGGAGATGGGACAGCAATGACTATTCTATTCTGTCCTTCCTGCTGCTCACTCAACGTGTGTGTTCTTTTATATCTTGATTATGCTAATCTGTTGGCTTTAGAGCCACTCAGTCTTACTCTATAGCTGTTACCCTATGGGGTTAAAAGGTGTTAGAAATTATGATAATAAGTTACTGCCCAAGTTTGGCTTTACCCAATAAGCAAATCACACCACATCACTTTTGGGGTTTGAGATTAGCATGTTCTCACTCAAGTTCAACTCACTAATGTTAATTATACCTTGTGGTTGGGTTCGTTAATTTTACTGACTCTAAGCAAAAATTTATTAAATCAGCTAAATCTGCAGTTATTCTTTAGTTCTGCTTTTTAAAAACTTATGTCTGTCTCATGATCAGTGCAAACAGTTATATTCTTTATGGTTATACTCCAGACAGGCAGGAAGCATTTACAGGAAGCAATTTCATAAGGTTTATTTTAGGCTATGTTTTCAGACACCTTCTAAAAGCAAATTTATTTTGCTATAAGTTGCTCGTTAACCCTTTTGGTTTTGGCCATCACAGGTCAGCATATGATTTTTTTTGTGTAGTTTGCTGACTGATGAATATTTTACCATCTATAAATTAGATGCAGACATGTATGTATTAGACACATTAGACCTGAGAAACAAAACCTAATTTCACAGAGATTGATACTGACCTGGGAGAAGTTCCCCACTTCTTTGTTTTTCATCTCTGTAAAAAATGGACATAAAATACCAAGGTGAATGTTAATGTTTTATGTGCATGTCCAATCACTTTGTGTGGCTATATGAGATTATGGATGGTGCAAGACACTGGAGAATCCAGCCCACTGCCTGATTTTAGAAGTTGATAAATTAGCTAATTGTGACCTGCGTGCCTTTTTTTGGTGTTTTTAAGGAGGAAACTCTGGGGAGTCCATGGATTTTGCTTCTCAATTCTCAAATCTTGGCAGCTGGCTAACTGTGTGGGATTGGGCTAGATGTCTTCTGCCAGCTTCTAGGTGGTGGCAAAAGCCTTGCTCTGCTCAGCAAAGAGAGAGGGTTGTGTCCCAACATGTAGGAAGCACAATTGTGGCTTAAAGCTTCCTTTCCTCCTTCTGCATGCAGTTCAGGAAGAGAAGAATTGAGAATTGGGGCCCATGGATATCCATTAAACTCTGAGATGCTTTGAATATTTGACCTGACCTAATCTTTACTTTGGGTAAAAAGTCTATTTGGGCAGACTGGGTATGGGGTTCTCTTTCTTGCTCTGGTTTTACTTTCCTAGTGCTGCATGGCTTTTTAGCAGTCGCTCTGCATTGCTTGTTTAATTTCTTGGGTTGTTTTCTTTTTTTCCCTTTTACTCAGGGTTTGATTCAAGAAATCCATGAATTACAATTAAAAGTGGGAGAAATGGACAATGAACGGCTTCAGTATGAGAAAAAGCTTAAAACTACTAAGGTAAGTGGCATTGAGGGAATAAGGGAAAAGGGTGGGCATCTGCCAGAAACTTTGGCTCTGGATCTAATTTTCAACCTCTCTGAAGTCATGAGGACATTTATATTCAGGGACTTCATAATGTCCATTAAAAAAGCAAATAGGGGCTGCCTACAAATCTTATACTGGATTTCAATTTCAAACCACAAGACAAAGTTCAGGTCTGGTGCACAGTAGGGCTGTACGAAGCTTTGATCCCTGATTTGGTTCAGTGGAGATTCATCCCGTTTCGGTGGCTGAATCTCTGAATCCGAATCATATCAGAGGACCCTTTAATCTCTCTGGATCTAATTGGAGCTCTTTGAATCGATTCAGAGGTTCAGACATAGACACAGCTTTAAATGGTTTTTCTACATACCTCTAGATAGCAGGGGCTTGTGAGTGCTGGGATGCATGGAGTATCCCACAGAAGCACAGGGGACTCCCCAGTGTGCTCAGCAGCAGACATGGAAGTGGACCAGAAGCACATCTGGTCCACTTCTAGGTCCGCCGTGGAGTGTATGGGAGTGGGGGGGGACAACCCCCCACACTTCCCCAGCTCAGTGACTGGTGCCTCCTGGGTCGGGGGATGGGGGGCACCCAGGGTCCCTCTGCAGCTGATTGCTGAGCTGGGGAGGCACAGGGGTGCTCCCCAGCAGACCCAGAAGTGGACCGGAAGTATTTCCATTCCACTTTCGGGCTTGCCACCAAGCATGTGGAGGGCTCCCCTGCACTCCTGTAGGATGCTCCACGTGCCCCAGCATTGCAGTGGTCACGAGCCGCGCTGGTACCTCAGGGTATGTAGAAAAAACTTTTAAAACTGTGTCTATGTCCGAATCTGTGATTCTCTGAATCAGCATCAAATCTTTGGATTCGGCTGAATCGAGTCAGGGACAGTGATCCAAAACAATGAATTGAATCACTGTCCCTGATTTGGGCCGAATCTGAATTGAATAGGACCCGTTTTGCACAGTGCACAATATTTTTGAGTGCCAGTTTCTGAAAGCCCAATTTCCCATTAGTTAACTAGCTGTTACTGGACAGTTGGCCTCTAAGTTATATTTACATCCTGTACTTGTGTGCAAGAGGAAAGGAGTGAACTGTGGGTGGGACTGCAACAGCATTTATTTTCTCCTAAATATGCTGTAAACCATCCAGTTCTATCCTGAGGAGACCGTAGTAAAAGGCAGAGCAATTATAGCAGTCTGTTTCTCTAAGTGTCTAACTACTACTTGCCATTTAGCCTTGTCTCTTTTCTATCTTTAGTTTTCTCTCACTGCTCTATCTCTGTTGCCAGTCTTTAATGGCCAAACTTTCTAGCATGAAAATCAAAGTGGGTCAGATGCAGTATGAAAAGCAGCGGATGGAGCAAAAATGCCACATGTTAAAGGTGTAGTAGATTCTGGGTAATATCGGGCCTTTCTATAACACCACTTTGTGGTCTGTTCTGCATCTTGCTGTCATGCTGTCTTGTTTGCTTTTTAAAATTACTTTCTGTTGACTTGCAGTATATTGTTTTTCAGTAGAAACTAAACCTTCTCAAGTTAGATATTCCTTACAAGTTGGTTTTAGGGCATAAATAGGACATATGGTACATTTCTGTGTTGCATGAGCCTTCTGTGCATTACCTAAAATTACATTACATTACATAAAATTACATAACATTACATAAAATTAAATGTGTTTTACATGTAAATTGAAAATGATCATTTAGCTTGCCCTCATTATTCAAACCAAACTCTTCCTGACTTTCCTAGAGAAGTCCACACACGTGTTCTCTCATTTTTTTCAGTTCTTACCAAATACTTATTCGTGCAATTTGCAAATAAGAAAATAATAGTTATACATTCCTCCTACAGTATAAACATAAATTAACAGGTCAACCAACAGTCCCACTGAAGTCGATACTACTAAAAAATGCAGGCAGAGAACTATTTGCTGAAAAAGTTTCTATCGCTTGCCAATTGTTAAATTAAGAGTTGACTGATCCTCTGAAGGACGCATCTAGTTTTAACAAGCATGATTCGGAGAAGTCCTGTGGCCTGCATTGTACAGGAACCTCATGATTGCAGAGGTCCCTTATGGCTTTATGAATCTATTCAGTGAAGCTCAGAAACATGTTTAAACCAGGATGCTATAGCTGGGCTAACAAGTTTAAGGACTGGATAGAACAGTCAAAAGGCGAGTTTTAAAGAGGACAGCTGAGATAAAGACATTTTGAATATAAAACATGTCTGCAAAAAGGGTCTTGTCTTGCCATAGCTTCTCATGTGAGGATCCTATTGAAGCCAAAGGAACCTGTTGAACAGAAGCACAGTTCTTGGAACCAGTTTAATACCAAGTCAATGACTATGGGGAATAAATACAGAAAAAAGCTGGAAGTGTTTTTGTCCCCACTTCCCCAAATCACCTTCAGTTTTGAGTGCTCCAGTCAGTTTATGAATCAATTCCAAGTGATTTTTAGTTTTGGTTGTGTAAATAGTGGCAGTGGCCTTTGATTACTGTGTCAGTGGTTTGGCCCATCCACAACATATGATGTAGGGAAGCTAACAAAGACCCTATTTTATGTTGTCAGAATGGAAAATATGCCTACATGGACTATCTAGTCCATGAGATTTGTTTTTGTTTGCTTCCTTAGTGCCTCACCACTAAAAATTGCTTGCAGTTTATTTTCTTCAGTTTTTTCTGAATTTCTTTTCAGCATGTCTTGCTTTTATTGTATTCTGACTGGTTTTCTTTCATAGCTAGCAGTGTGCATTGATAAAACTATTGTTCATGGCTTGTTTCAAGGAGAGAGAAATCTGCATTTACAAATCATTGAGCATATGCAATAAGCATCTGCATCCCGTGTGTTCAGCTATTACCTGTCAAGGTACCAGGCCTCCAATTTAGCATGTTTTATTTGTTGTACAATTGTTTTTCTCTCAGCGCTTTGAATGTACAAAGTGCTCTGGAAGTGCCAAGTGTGATTGTTTGTGACATGAAGCATTTAGTCTCATTATCTTTTATTTTACTATTCATGCAAACTGAAAAATAGTCTCTTTCCCAGAGCTATTTTTAATTTGGACAAAAATTACAGTCATACATTTAAACTGGAGATGAGACCAATATATGAAATTTGACCTGAATCCAAACTGTTTCAATGTTTGGGGTTGTTTGGTTCTTGGGGGATGTGTTTTCCTCTTGCAGAAATAGCATTTTCTGCTAAAGTCCCATTTGCCATTCTAGTGACAGATCATCACTTGCTATAAATGGTCCCAGGCCCATAGATTTGAACAGGCCTGTGATAATTTCCATAGATAGGATATTAGCCCACTGGACTCTTTCATTGTGAAGTTTTCTTTGGGAACCATCTCTGACTTGAATGGCAAAGTTTTATTTAAAAACCCTCTTCAGAACTGAAACCCAGGTTTTCTTATAGACAAGTGTTTATGTATCTTTTCAGGATGAACTGGCAACTTTGAAAGAGCAATTGGAACAGAAGGAGGCAGAGGTAAAAAGGCTACAAGAGAAACTGGTTTGCAAGATGAAAGGAGAAGGAGTTGATATAATTGACAGAGGTAAGGAGGGAGGCACTGTGTTCATTGGAGCTGTGCAGAGAGACATCTCTTGCACGACAGGGCTGTCTTACCTAGTCTGAAGATTATATTTAAGAATATAAGAATTGCCATTTACTGGGTCAAATCATAGGTCCATCTTGCCCAGTGTGTCACACAGTGGCAGAGAGTGGATGCTGAAAGGGAGAGTGAACAGGGTATGACTAGGGTGTTTTCCCCCTGTTGTTCCCCTCTCACTTGCTGCCTCCAGTATTTAGGATCTAGGAAGCTCTCGTGCCAGACCAGTTTCCCTAACTCTGTTGTTCAATAGCTACTGATGCCCCTTTCCTCCAAGAATTTGTCCAATCTGTTTTTGAATCCAGGTAAACTGTCAGCTTCCACAACATCTGGTGGAAATGGGTTCCACACTTGAAGTACACGCTGTGTGAAAAAGAACTTCCTTTTGTTAGTTTTAAATTTACCATCTTCTAATTTCATTTTGTGAACACTAGTTCTTGTATTGAGAGAGTAAATAAATCTCTATATAATAATTTCTCTTTACCATTTAGTGTTTTGTAAACTCTTTATCATGTCCCCCCTCAAGCATCTCCTTCTACACTGAAGAGGCTCTCCTCATATGGAAGCCCCTCCATACTGCTAACCATCCTTGCAGCGCTTCACTATACCTTCTCTAGTTCTTCTATATCCTTTTTGAAGTGTGGGGACCAGAGCTGGGCACAATGTTCAAGTTGTGGTCACACTATAGATTTATAAAAGGGCGTGATGATACTTTGTTTTGTTCACAGTTCCCTTTTTAAGAATCCCTAATGGTTTTTTTCCCCCTCTGATGGTTGCTGAGCACCGAGCTGAAGCTTTTAGCAAACTGTCCACAATGACTCCCAGATTTCTTTTTAGTTTGGTAATAGCTAATGCAGGGCCCTTCATAGTGTAGCTATAGTTTGGGTTATTTTTGCCCATGTGCATCACTTTACACTTACATTGAATTTTGTCTGCCATTTAGTTGCCCATTCACTCCTATAGCAAAATACTTCTGTAGTTCCTCAAGGTTTGCCTTGGTCTTTACCACTTTGAATAATTTTTTGTCATTTGCAAATTTGGCCATCTCGCTACTCACCTTCTTTTCCACATCATTTATATGTTAAACAGCACTGGTCCCAACACAGTTCCCTGGAGGACCCACTGTTTTGTTTCTTTCTGTCCTGAAAACTGACTGTTTATCCTGACTCTTTGCTTTCTATCTTGGAGCCAATCCACAAGTGGACATTCCCTGAAATCCCATGACTACTTAATTTAGTTAAGAGTCTCTGATGGGGAACCTTGTCAAAGGCTTTTTGGTCGTCCAA